TATCTATGTAGTTTTGGGATAGTACCTTCCACAAACCTTCCCTATGTATTCCCAAGCCCAAGAAAAAGGGCCAGCATTCACTAGAAAATAACTTTCTGAAATGACCATGAATTTTTGCTACATTTTCTATTGTATCTATCTTTATCAGCTTTTTCTAATGGAAATACAATCTGTACTAGACAAGTAATCTTAAATTTTCTAATACCTACATTTTTATAAAAGCAAAACTGGTAAAATGAATTACAATAGAATATTTTAATTTATTCAAAATATTTTAATATAGAACAATATTTTAAACTATTAATGAGCTCTTTACATTTCATCTTTGTACATCTTGAAATCTGGTGTGTATTTTACACTTAGAGCACACCTCAATTTGAACTAGATGCATTTCAGGTGCTCAATAGCCACAGACAGCTGGTGGCTACTACACTAAACAGTACAGCTCCATGTCCATCAAAGATGATTATTCTATTGGCCCCAAGAGGAAGCAAATAGGAAATGAAGCATTGCATCTTGGGATTTTAGGCAGCCTTTGGAAAAGAGAGAAACCAGAAGAAATAAGAATAGCAACTTTTCTTCTGCAGCTTTGACAAAAGAACTACACATTGCTCGAGATTACTTACAAATACATTTCTTTATCATATTTGGAAAAGAAGAAAGTAAGAACTCATAATCCAGGAAAGCTTTTTCAGATAAGTGCCCAGAACACCACAGAAACTTGCTTAGGATCTGTATATATCTGTCCATCTTTCAACTTTGATACAAAGAGGATGTCATTACCTAGGTGTTAGATAATGAGGAAGAATCCATAACTCTTTGATTGAAAATGCCAGAAATATGTGTGTGTGTGTGTATGCGTGTGTTTATATCACCACATATATATAAATATATATCACATAAAAATAAATAAACATATATAGAGAAATATGTGTATACATATATATGTATACTCACACGTTATTAAAATGTTCTGCAGTTTTGTATTACTGGAGAGGGAACAGATTTCTTTGACTATACTAAGAAATAGTATTTATTTGAAAAAGAGTAATTACAGGTAAAAAAAAAATTGTACTTCTAATATAATTTAAGCAGATGTAAAACCTATGAAACAAGAATTGAAAGAAAGTATGACAGGAAAAGAGATTTAATTTTGGCCTTAGACAAAAATGGAACTGATAGAAAAAAATAGAATTCAAGAAAAAGAAAAATACAATTAAAGATTAAAAAGATGAAAAGGAATTGGTAAATAGGATGGAGATAAGAAACTCAACTTGTAAATAATTGGTGATACCAAGAGAAAAATCACAATTTAACCCAAAGCAAAAATCAAATCTTAACACTGGAATGGAGGAAATCTATAAAGTTTGGGGGCTAAGTGTATGACCCAGTAATTCTCTATCAAATAGGTTGTCAAAAGAAATATATTCTTATACAGTAAACTGAACCTGTTATCTATTGCCATCATAATGCTGCAAAACAATCACAAAACCCTAATGAGATATAAACTATTTTTGTTTACAAGATAATGGGTTGGCTTGGAAGTTCTGCTGATCTGAGCTAGGCTACCTCATCTGTCTGCAGCCACGTCTAGACATCTGAGTCCACTTGACGGGTCTCTTCATGTCTCATTCTCCATTATCCTAGCTCAGTCTCCTTGTGGTCACAAGTGTTCAAAAGACAGAGTAAACACTGTGTGTACTTCCCAGCCCATGGCTGCACTAAGTCAAAACAATTCATACGACTGAGCCAAACTCAGGCTGGGCAGGGGCCACCAAGCTCCTGAGCAGAGAAGGTAGACACAAGACCTCAACAAAGTGGGACCATCAATGCAATCATTCAAGTTCAACCCATCAATGCCTCCAGCTGTAGAGAATCAGAACTCAACAATCATGCTGGATATATTACCATTTCAGTGAGGTAGAACACACAAGAAGGCCTTGAGGCAAGTTGGTGAGAAGGTATTAGAAAGGACTTTTAGGACCTGTATTTATGTTAAGCATTTAGGGTACAGGGCTTTGGTCTGAATTGGATGTTGTCCGGAAGCAGGAGTATCATACAAATGAGTATCTTAGTAAATCTGTTAGCAGGAGGGAAGATAGCCAAGACTGAAGCTATAATTAATAAAGAAGCAGTCACTTGTATTAGCCAAGGTAGGGGGACAGTTGGTCATTTCTGGGATTTGGATAATGTTCACGTTTAGTGTTCAGATGTGACCACAAAGTGGTCTTTGTCCTGCTCCATCATGGTCAGAGTGGGCTGGTCTGATATCAATGTTCTGTGAAATAATTCCTGTGCTCTAAATCTTGGTGTGATTCCAGCTAACCCCAGGTCAGGGTCACTTGTTTCCTCACATTACAAACCACCAGTTGGTTACCTGGCAATTTGCTTATTGCTTTCATCAGTCATCTTAAGAGGTGATTCAGAATAAAGAGCCCAAACAAAGAGGAAAAAGTGCCTATTGTAAACATTAAGCCCACTTAAACATGGGCTATGTCTAAATGCTATGAATATGGTTCCAATATATCAAAGGCAGTCATCAAATGAGACATATAAGCCACATAAGAATTTATTAAGGGCTGGGATTGTGGCTCAGCGGTAGAGCGCTCGCCTAGCATGGGCAGGACCGGGGTTCGATCCTCAGCACCACATAAAAAAAGAAAATAAAGGCATTGTGTTGTGTCCATCTACACCTAAAAAATAAATTTTTTTTTTTTTTAATTTTTTTTTTTTAATTTTTTTTTATTGGTTGTTCAAAACATTATAAAGCTCTTCACATATCATATTTCATACATTAGATTCAAGTTGGTTATGAACTCCCAATTTTACCCCAAATACAGATTGCAGAATCACATCGGTTACACATCCACATTTTTACATAATGCCCTATTAGTAACTGTTGTATTCTGCTACCTTTCCTATCCTCTACCATCCCCCCTCCCCTCCCCTCCCATCTTCTCTCTCTACCCCATCCACTGTAATTCATATCTCTCCTTGTTTATTTTCCCATTCCCCTCACAACCTCTTATATGTAATTTTGTATAACAATGAGGGTCTCCCTCCATTACCATGCAATTTCCCTTTTCTCTCCCTTTCCATCCCACCTCATGTATCTGTTTAATGTTAATCTTTTCTTCCTGCTCTTCCTCCCTGCTCTGTTCTTAGTTGCTCTCCTTATATCAAAGAAGACATTTGGTATTTGTTTTTTAGGGATTGGCTAGCTTCACTAAGCATAATCTGCTCTAGTGCCATCCATTTCCCTGCAAATTCTATGATTTTGTCATTTTTTAGTGCTGCGTAATACTCCATGGTGTATAAATGCCACATTTTTTTTATCCATTCATCTATTGAAGGGCATCTGGGTTGGTTCCACAGTCTAGCAATTGTGAATTGTGCTGCTATGAACATCGATGTAGCAGTATCCCTGTAGTACGCTCTTTTAAGGTCTTCAGGGAAAAGTCCAAGAAGGGCAATAGCTGGGTCAAATGGTGGTTCCATTCCCAGCTTTCCCAGGAGTCTCCATACTGTTTTCCAGATTGGCCGCACCAGTTTGCAGTCCCACCAGCAATGTACAAGAGTACCCTTTTCCCCACATCCTCTCCAGCACTTGTTGTTGTTTGACTTCATAATGGCTGCCAATCTTACTGGAGTGAGATGGTATCTTAGGGTGGTTTTGATTTGCATTTCTCTGACTGCTAGAGATGGTGAGCATTTTTTCATGTACTTGTTGATTGATTGTATGTCCTCCTCTGAGAAGTGTCTGTTCAGGTCTTTGGCCCATTTGTTGATTGGGTTATTTGTTTTCTTATTGTTTAATTTTTTGAGTTCTTTGTATACTCTGGATATTAGGGCTCTATCTGAAGTGTGAGGAGTAAAAATTTGTTCCCATGATGTAGGCTCCCTATTTACCTCTTTTATTGTTTCTCTTGCTGAGAGAAAACTTTTCAGTTTAAGTAAGTCCCATTTGTTGATTTTTGTTATCAACTTTTGTGCTATGGGTGTCCTATTAAGGAATTTGGAGCCCGACCCTACAATATGTAGATCGGAGCCAACTTTTTCTCTATAGGTTTAATGCAATGCCAATCAAAATCCCAACGGCATTTCTTGTAGAAATGGATAAAGCAATCATGAAATTCATATGGAAAAATAAAAGACCCAGAATAGCAAAAGCAATTCTAAGCAGGAAGTGTGAATCAGGCGGTATAGCGATACCAGACTTAAAACTATATTACAGAGCAATAGTAACAAAAACAGCATGGTACTGGTACCAAAACAGGCAGGTGGACCAATGGTACAGAATAGAGGACACAGAGACTAATCCACAAAGCTACAACTATCTTATATTTGATAAAGGAGCTAAAAGCATGCAATGGAGGGAGGATAGCATCTTCAACAAATGGTGCTGGGAAAACTGGAAATCCATATGCAACAAAATGAAACTGAATCCCCTCCTCTCGCCATGCACAAAAGTTAACTCAAAGTGGATCAAGGAGCTAGATATCAAATCAGAGACTCTGCGTCTAATAAATATTTTTTTAAAAAAGAATTTATTAATAGCATGAATTTAAGTATAAATCCCCAAATGACACTATCAAAAGTCATGTAGTGAAAAACAGATGCTGGGAAGAAGTTAAAATGTTTAACATTTCTCATTTTAGAGAAAGGGAAGGGCTTTCTTAAGTTTTATTTTGCAAAACATAGTAAAAGCTACTTGTAGTGCTAAAAATAAATACAAACCTTCCAAATGGTTAGGGAAAATATTTTTTTTAATGTAGCTGCAAGAGAGAAAGCAAAGAAAATAACCCAGAAAGTACTTTTTAAGCATGAAACTAAATGGCCAAAGTAAAAGCAAATGCCTTACTTGTTAATTGTCTTTCCCTTCTTTCCAAACCCCTGCTTTTATCTTCCGCTGAGCCCAGATATGCTCTCTGTCATCTGAAATATTGCAAACAGCCTTCTAAATGGTCTCTCTCCCTCTAACCTGTTCTCTTCACGTACAGACTACACCTGTGCTACCCAGAGTTCCTGAAATAGGGTCATCAGCAACCGTGGATAACAGCTCTGCGATGACGTAAGAACAGAGACTGAGAGCAGCATTTGAAACTTTAATAGCAATTTGACAAGCAATTTTATGTCTGATGAGACTAATAATTAAAAACTGGTGCTTACATTTGGTACATTTTTATTTCTTTTTTCTAATAACTCATTTTTATTATACCATCTAAAACTATCCATCTGTGATACATAAAAAAGGGAAGCAAACAGCCAGTCTTTCACCACAGAGGGTTGGAGAAGCAGGAGACTCGTCCTCAAGTTGGAATCTGCCGCCTCTACCCAGACATGTTCAGCAGCTCCCTTTCATCCCTAATGATGATTCTTCTCTCCTCTTCCTGACTCCATGCTATTACTATAGGCAACATTACCTATCATTCACGTCTCTTATTGCATAAGATTCTCAAAGGGAAAGAGAAAGGATGAACGTTTCCTCCAGAAGGAAAGGCCAGGGAGTGCGCACTTCGAACCATAAAACCCTGGAGATTCAGGTACACTCAGAGTGCTGCATCCCATGCTCTCTCTCCGTGGAGACTTATTGGCCCCTTGGGATGATGAACGCACTCCTTAGCTCTGTGTGCACTATTTTACATTCCACACTGCTATCCCAGGGCCTCACTTCCAACTCCTTGAACACACCTTGCACCAGCCTCTGTCCTTTTTCCCTCCTCATAGACTGCCCTACCTCTCCTGTCCACCTACTGACCGCCACAGTGTGCTCCTTCCTGAAGCCCCCATGCCAATGTCACATCCTCACATCTTCTTATTCCTCTTTCTGCTTCTCAACCCAGGAGAATTTCCTTACTCCTTTGTGGCAAAAGCTCTATACATACAGCTCACTTTATCCCTGAGACTTCGATTTTATTTTTTTCCCCAAAAGACAAAATTATGGATTCATGCATATTTATCTATAAAATGAAATTCACATTAGTAAGAGGCCGGTTAAATAACTAAGTTCTGTCCATATAAGAGAATAATATATAAGTCGTAAAAATGATGACGAATACATGTAATATGGAAATATGGCAATATTGTTAAGTAAACAAGTATATAAAAACAAAACACATGATTACATACACAGAATGATCTTGTTATTAAACTATAGTTATAGAAAAAAGCCTATTGTGTATACAGTTATAGATAAAGTTGTAGACACATGCAGAGACACAGGCCCAGATACAAGGTGCACATAGATGTAGATATAGGCCAAATGTTATTTCTTTTTTAATTTTTTTCACATCTCTATTTTTTAAAAAATCAGAAATGTTAATTCATTTGCATTAAGAAAAAATGTTAAAACATTTATCAATGCCTACGTGGGTTGCCATGGAGTCCTGTCCAGTCTTATGCAATAGCCCTTACCTTCCTGTCTCTGCTTGTTTACTTGCTGGGTCCCCCAGGTAGCAGCCCCAGAGGGTTGGGCTACCCCATACTCTGCAAACATGGCACCCCACACCAAGCAGTTGCTGGGGACATGTTTACAGAGCTAAACTGAGTATGTTCCGTTGCCAAAAGACAAACACGGGACAAATGGGCATCTGTGCTATTTCCTGAGAAACCAAAAATTAAATTGGTCAATATGACCAGGTACCTCTAGACATGTGAAACTTGAGCCTTTGGGACTCACCTCTTTGGGTGAAATGTGAGTTGAACTTGGTCAGAGGAAAGGTGAGCAAACCCTGCTGGAAGTGCTCATTAGTCCTGACAGACACTTCAACAAGCAGTCCTCCCCAGCTCTGCCAGCAGAAGCGTAGGCTGTGATGATTTACCCAGTTGGTATTGATTCTTCCCAGGCAGTTCAGAGAGAAAGTTTTTCATGAAACTGCTTGGGAAATAGAGCAAGTCCCTAGGATGGGCATATTAGCAGCAATGATTTTTCACTTAGTTGCTGTGTGTTCATGTCTCTGTATAAAACTCTTACACTCTGAAATGTGTATTCCAGATTTCCCATGAAGAAGATATGGTTCTTTCACACATATTGAGCTCAATTTTCCCATTTTTAAGGTTTATCTTCAAAAAGCCTGAATACTTTGAAAGACACATTAGCTTTGTAAAGTGCATAGACTTATTTATAGACAGGAGGCTGCGCTGAAGGAATCAAGGCAGCTCAGTGTCATCTGACTCTGTTGGATTGCAGAAGCACATGGTCCGCTGGGCCTCGCATCCATCCACATACATCATATGTGAAAGAGCGATGACAGTATGATATTTCATGGTTGTAGAAACTTATCTAGCATTATAAACTTATTGTGGTGAATTAAATAGTGGTCTCCAAAAGGTATGCCTACCCAGAACCTCAGAATGTGACCTTATTTAGAATAAGGGACTTTTCCAAGGTCATTTAGGTAAGGACCTCAAGATGAGCTTATGTTATACCAGAGTGGACTTTAAATCTAATGACAAGTCCTTACTAAAAGAGAAGAGGTAGGAAAATTTGCACAGAAACACAAAGGAAGAAGAACACCAGGAGGAAGAACAATTGAAGATAAAGGTGCAGATTGGAAGCATGCTAGTATACAGGCCAAGGAATGCCAGGAGCCACTAGGATCTAGAAGAAGCCAGGAAAGACTCTCCCCAAGAGGCCCTGGAGGGATCACAGTCTTGCCCAACAACTTGATCCTGGACTCCAAAACCATAAGAGTATACATTTCTGGTTGTCTTAAGCCACCAAGTTTGTGGTAATCTGTTGTGGCAGCCCTAGGAAACTAATATATTCATAAAATCATGACTCCAGAGTACACCAAATAGGTTGCTGAATTGTGTGCATGTTCACAGCGTGCTAAACCTTCATTTCCAACCCTCACTTTTCTAATATGTATACCCAAACTTGTGGCATAGACAAAGGTAGGGCTAGAAAATAAGCTGGGTTTAACTTTTGAAACATAAGGAGACAGGACACTTTCTCTTTCCACCCACCCCATCACCACTCATGTACCCTTAGATGCCACCCATATCTCCATTCTCAGAAGGCAGTATGTGTAGGAGTTAAGAACATGGCCAACCAGACTCTCTATTATCTCAACTACTTAATCTTTCTGAGTTTCAGTTTCTGTATGTGTAAACTGGATGTTGTAAGTTTAAGCAAGGGACAAAGAACTCAATGTTGAAAGTACTCAGTCAATATTAAAATAAATAGATAAATAATTGATAGACTGGAAGATAGCTATACAGATGGAAAGCAACAAGCATCAGGTAGAAATCTAATAGAGTATAGTACGATACAATGCAATTCAAGCCTGACCACTGTGCTCCATTTCCTACTCCATTTATCTGTTGAGGTTTAAAAGTGACAAACAGATAAGGAGTTAGATGGGTGGAGAAAGTAGAGTGGAAAAGTCAAAAAACTACCAAATAGAGAAAACCAAGGAAATACATCTAAGGGTTTTCAGAGTTGTTGGGGATGGAGAGGCTGAAAGCGACAGCCACAGTGCTACATTGTCACTGGGACTTCCTCTCAAAGATCACTGGGATGAGTAGATGCCAACTGTATCCAGTAGAAAAAACAGAACCCCTGCAAATTTCTCTCAGATCTGGTCACATACATAGGAAAAAAAGGGAGGATCTGCAAAAAATTGACAAGAACAACTTAGAGAAGGAAAGGTTATTTTGGCTCATGGTTTCAGAGGTTCAGTCGATGGTCATCCAACTGCATGGCTCTGGATTCAAGGTGAGGCAGAACATCATGGTGGATGGGTGTGGCAGAAGGAGGAAGCTCAGGACATAGCAACCAGGAAGCAGAAAGAACTCTGTTCGACATGGACAAAACATGAACCCCAAAAGCACATCTCCAGTGACCTACTTCCTCTAGCCATACCTTACCCACCTATAGTTACTACCCAGTTAATTAATATCAGTGGAGTAATCCATTAATTGTTAAAAACTCTCATAATCTAATTATTTTGCTCTTCATTCTTGCATTCTCTCATACATGAGAATTTGGGGGATACCTCATACCTAAGCCAAAACATGTGTCTTTTCCTCCTCATTCCCACATCACTGAGAAGTGAAGCAATACCCCCAGTGAGCAGGGGGAATGAACAGGCAGAGGGGAACAAGCTGGGACTGTTCATGCTCTCCAGGCTTCGGCCCTGCAGCCCAGTGTAGAGGAGGGAAGAAGATCAACTGCCAAGTCAAATCAGGATTTGCTTATTTCATACAAAGGAGCATATTATTCTTGGGGCAAAAGTAGATATTAGCCTTGATATAACTATATGAGTGTTACCTAAAAAGATAAAGTTGCTGTTTTAACATACTGTTAGTCATAACTGTTTGATAGACTTTTACCATTTCTTAAAACATAAAATGTTTCACAAAGTTCAGGGAAAAGATGAAGGCCACAAACACTGCTGAGATTTAACATTTGTCACAGGTCGCTTCATTGTTCTCTCTTTTATTTACTTTTTAAATATTTTTTATTATATGTGGGCACAATATCTTTATTTATTTTTTAAGAGAGAGAGAGAGAAAATTTTAATATTTATTTTTTAGCTTTTCGGTGGACACAACATCTTTGTATGTGGTGCTGAGGATCGAACCCGGGCCACACGCATGCCAGGCGAGCGCACTACCGCTTGAGCCACATCCCCAGCCCCTATTTATTTATTTTTATGTGGTGCTGAGGACCGAACCCAGTGCCTCACATGTGCAAAGGAAGCACTTTTCTACTGAGCCACAACCCCAGCCCCTCATTATTCTCCTTTTAGCTGATAGTTATTCCAAACAGCTACAGTCCCACCGACCCTTTCCCTCCTCTCCTCTCTAAGACTCATAGTATTGGTTTGGTAACCTCACTGTATGGGGGTGTCTTTTACAAATTCTGATGGAGTGAATGGATGAGAAGAGGGAAGAGCGTACAGGGAGACTGGTTGGGAGACCCGCATGAGGTCCAGTAAGGGTAGGTGCTGCGCTCATAGGTGGTGGACACAGTCTACCAGGGAGAGGATGGAGAGGATAAAAAATGAGTTCACAGTACGAATATCTGAAGGCACTACTGAGGGAGCTGTTTATCACACAGAGTGTTACAGAAGGAGAATCTTTGAGTGACTTCCAGTTCTAAGAAATTGCCCTCTTACTCCACAGTATTCGTTGCCTTATACCCATGGTTTTCAGATGGGGGTGATTTTAT